AACACCAAGGAGAGAGAGAGAGAGAGAGAGAGAGAGAGAGAGAGAGAGAGAGAGAGAGAGAGAGAGAGAGAGAGAGAGAGAGAGGAACTAAGAGAAGGTCACAATGGAAGGAGAGAAACAGGGAGAGAGGGAATGAGAGAACGCCGAGGAGAGGGGGGGAGAAGAAGACGAGTAAAAGAGGACAGACCCCAAAAGAAGAAAGGAGAGAGAGAGAAAGAGGCGGAGGGACAGACTCAAAGAGGAGGGAAATAGAGAGAGCAAGGGAGCGGGAGGGAAAAGAGAAATAAAGAGGCAGATGAAAAGACGGAAAGAGGAGGCAAGGAGACTGAAGAGGAGAGAGAGAGAGACAGAGAGGGATTAGGAGACCGCAAAGTGGAGGGAGAAAGCGAGAGAGAAGGAACAAGTGAAAGAGGAGAGAGAAAGAGAGAGCAGGGAAGACAGGGAGAAAGAAGAAAGATAAGAGCAAAAGAGAAAGAAGGCTTGGGGGGGGGGGGAAGGGGGGGGAAGAGATAACACGAACACAGAGAGAAGGGGAGAGAAGAGCAGAATGAATTGAGCACAGGAGAAGGATACAGTCTTCAGAGAGCACGCGGAGGGAGGGAAAGAGGGAGAGAAGGAGCACAGGAAAGACACAATGAGAAGAATGGATGAAATAACGAGACGGACACAGTCAAAGGGAGAGCGCAGATGTCCACAGTGAATGAGATATAGCGAGAACGGTACAGTCCTAAGAGAATACAGCGAGGACGGTACAGTCCTAAGAGAATACAGCGAGAGAGGGAGAGAGGGGGTGAAGGAGATAAAGGGAGAACGGTACAGTCCTAAGAGAATACAGCGAGAGATGGGGAGAGGGGGAGAGGGAGAGAGGGGAGAAGGGGAGAGAGGGGAGAAAGGGGAGAGAGGGAGAGAGGGGAGAAAGGGGAGAGGGGAGAGAGGGAGAGAGGGAGAGAGGGAGGGACAGAGGGAGACAGGAGATGAGCAGAATGAAATGAATGAAGGGACAAGGATACAGTCTTCATCTACCTCGGTGATTTCCTGAAAATGTGGTTGATGAGAGAATTTAAGGAATTTTGTCAGATTTTCGACGTGGAAATTGTCCATCACCTCCGGGGAGTCGTCCTCTCTCACAGCCATCTCTTCCATCTTGCTTCCACCCCTCTAATAAGCTTCCAAGAGTCTTCAAGGAAACTTCAAAGAACAAACAAAAAGCGATGATCCCTTCAAACTTTCAGATCCAACCGAACAAAAAATTTAGACACTGAGGAGTTCTCGCACTGGGAATTTCCTCCGATTCTGGCCGTAATTGCGGTCAGATACGTCCACAAAACTCGCAGTATGATTATGCATGGCTTAACTAACTCAGAGAATTCTGAGTATTGTGATAGATTAGACACCAAAAAAAAGGAAAAGAACAAAAGAAGGAAAAAAAAGTAAGAGAGAGAGAGAGAGAGAGAGAGCACGAACCGAGCGAGGGCACTACCTTCTATAGCAAGAGATCTCGAACGTAACGCGCAGACACAGAGAGAGAGAGAGAGAGAGAGAAATCGCTACTAGAGCATGGTCCCACTAGCGAGTTTTCTGGACGTA